TGCTGAGGGACGGCTGGAGCGGCAGGACTGACTTCAGCGGGGAGGACGCTCCCATACCGCCGACATGCAGTCGATCGGCAAGGTAGTTTTGCAACTGCACAAGCAGTAGGGTATCAATTGTAAATCAGGGGACTTTGAACGCGTGATTGTCAGATTGTTAGAACTGAGCGCTGTCGATGATCTGGTAGATATATTACACCCAGATTGCTGGGCTAGGTGTACCGAGGCGCTCACGAATGACGTGTTGTGCTTTAAGTCCAGCAAGTACCTTAAAAGCTGGGCGAGAGTTATGGAAGCACTGCGAAAAGCACTTCACGAGCAGAAAACTTGGAAGGCAGCTCAAAGCTGTTTAAAGGTTACACCGCGGGTGGGGGTTGGAGCTGCCACGCAGACCGCTTTTGCTGATTGCCCCACCGATTCTATGTGGCCATCTAATGATGACAGGCTGTCCCACCTGCCCGGCTCTAACGCGGGTTTGGCTGCGGAACACACTTTGCCGCCAAGGCGTACCGATGCCGCGGAGTCACAGGGCGCGCCCGACACCGCGGGCCCTGGAGATGTCGGGGAAAGGCCTCCGCCATACGCACCGTGAAATGGCACCGGGGACACGAGCAAGGGGCGGAGCGAAGGGGGTCTAACTCACGCGGACATACATGATCGGGAGCCTAACGGGAGGTGGGCGGACAGCGCCGAGAGTGAAGGGGAGGAGAGCTCACGGTCCAATAAGGGATCGTGCCCTAGAGTATCTCCTTGTAAGGAAAAGAACCCGCTGGAAGGAAGGCGGAGAAAGGGAGGGGAGAAAGCCGTCCCTGGGAAAGGGAGAGGGCGGAGCCCAACAAAAAGGCACCATAGCCCGGAAACCTCGAGTCAGTCGACTTCCGGCACTGACCCAGACACCGATCAGAGCAGGCGGTCAAATGACGAGCCCACAGCGCGGGTTTGCAACCGCAGTAAACTAAGCCCTTGTATTTACACCCAAGGCTTTGGCTCCTCCGCTGACTTTGTTGGGAGATCCACGTCCCTTCTAGAGGGGTCAGTCTCCTCTCCGAAGTTGTTTTGCAGGGCGAAGTGAAATCTCAGCCTTCGGTTCATGCGATGGAAACACCTCTGTGCCACCCTGAAGGAAGAGCGCTGCTTCTGCGCGAATCGCGCTGGAGTTGTGCAGGACATCACAGCTGGGCTGCAGGACAGACTGGTCCGACGGAAGGCAGTCGAAATAGCTCAGCTGGGAGAGCTTTGGATTGGGAATCAGGGTGGAAATTGATCCTGACAGGTCGAGGGTATGCCGCAGTGGAGAAAGATAACATTATTAAGTGGTGTCCATTAAAATCAATAAAGCCTGTGCTGTATAACTTAACTAATGAAACCTCAGAGTTTCTTTTAACAGGTCTACCACTATAATCCTCCACGTCAACCTCGCTTTTCATCCTTGACATGGACATCAGCAGTTTCACGACAGAGTCTGCCTTTGTGCTTTCCTGTTTCTAAGCCTGCCTCGCATTGGACAGGGAGAAGTGGATGTGCATCCTTACCAGCCATGCACCTGGACACTTCGCAATCCCTTGGACGGTAGAGTAATTGCCTAAACTGTGTCTAATGCCCCTAGCTTCATCGTTCACATAAGTGATATATTTAACACCGATGGAATAGGAATTGATCCTAGTCAGGGAAAGCCTTTTTCCTACACTAATTGGGGAACATACTGGTGCCCTAGTGTCAATCCCGGTAAAAGCTATTGCACCTATCCTGGATATGGGTCTTGTGGGTATTGGGGTTGTGAAACCATCGTCACCAGTAACCAGTGGACACCAGCTAGGAGAGATAGTTTCCTAGACGTGGGTTTTTGTCCTAAAGGCTGCAAGCGGCCCATGTTTGGAAACAGCGGTATGATCACTGCTAAAGGAAGCTGTTCCCACCTAAATGTAACAGTCCTGCAACCTCAGGACACCAACTGGTCGCTAGGACAAAAGTGGTCAGTATTCCTTCATAGCTGGGATACAGATCCGAGCACGATGGTTCAAATTATCAGAGCTTCACCACCGCACCACACCACTCTCGGACCCAACAGAGTTGTAGCCCAACAATACAATCACATAAACAGCAATCCCACGCCTAGCCTCACTAGTGCCACATCAGCACTTCATGGTGTGCTCGAACTGATGTCTCATGCCCTCTTTCATCGCATGTTAAGTGCCACATTTCTATCACTAAATGCAAAAAAGCCAGAACTTACCCGTTCTTGTTGGCTTTGCTATGATGCCTACCCGCCCTTTTACGAAGGGGTAGCCCTTAATGCCATGTTCAGCTACTCCAGAGCGAATGACCCCGAGCGATGCTTGTGGAACACCCCTCGCAAGGGAATCACACTAGAGCAAGTTTCGGGCAAAGGCGGTTGCATAAGCAACAGACAGGCAATGCAACGCCATGAAGAGATTTGTGGCACTCCTGTGACTCTAGATAAGACCGAGTCCTGGGTAATTCCAGCAGCCTCGGGAATTTGGGCCTGTAGCTCCACAGGTATCACCCCATGTATTTCCATCAAACACTTTGATGAAACTAACGATTTCTGTGTCCAAGTGGTTATTATCCCTAGGATCCTTTACTTCCCTGGAGACGAATTACCCTACCACCAGGAGAGAGGTTTCCCACGCCACAAACGAGAACTAATCACCGCCGTCAGTCTTGCAGTACTGTTAGGTCTAGGAGCAACAGGCGCAGCGACAGGTGTCACAGCCCTGATGACTCAGAACCAAGGTCTAGCCCAACTGCAGACAACAGTCGACGAAGACCTACACAGAATCCAAGAATCCATCTCCAACTTAGAGTGATCCCTCAACTCCCTTGCAGAGGTCGTGCTGCAGAACAGACGAGGACTAGACATCTTACTCATGCACCAAGGAGGTCTGTGTGCTGCCTTGGACGAGAAATGTTGTTTCTATGCCAATTATTCCGGGCCAATCAAGCAGTCCATGGCAGAGCTACAACAAAGACTTGAAGAGCATAGTCAGCAACGCTCTCAGCAAAACTGGTTTAGTTCAATGTTCAACCAATCCCCATGGATTATTACCCTTGCTTCCACGTTAGCAGGACCAGTTATTGTTGTTGTGTTCGTACTTATTTTTGGTCCTTGTCTCCTTAATAAGTTAGCCCAGTTTATAAAAACCCGTTTAGATAAGATAGACATTTTATATTTAGAACAGAGACAGTTAACCTGAGTTTGCATGATAGTTCGTACTAACACACCGCGGTTTCGTTTCGTGTTTATTACTAACAAGTTCACGGTTTGTTGTTAATTACATAAGTCGTTCAGTTGTAAAGTTCTGTTCATGGAGAAGGGGGGAGATGATGCAGTCAGATAGGGAACGCCAATCGGAAGATCTCGCGTTGTACGGGAAGATAGGGCCCCTCTTTCTCCAAAGTTCCATAACCCATAATGTCACGGTGCTTACGTCATCATACCTCAGTTATATAAATACCTGTGCACCGGAAATAAACGCTCTTCACCATCCACCACATTGGTGTCAGCGTGTGATTAACCCGACAGGCCTGTAAGTTTAGCCGTCGTGTCGCCCATGAACCGGGTCACTACACCTCATTCCGAGGCAACATCTCCCCTTTATGTTCATGAATCATTTAGGTTTAGCTGTGGTACACTTAGTGATCTTTTCTAAATTTTTGTTGTAAATATTTCATTATTCAAAATGAATTGTGGTCTAAATTTCTAATGCACATACTATATTAATTGAATGTTCTTAGGGCATCAATTCCTTTTGCTTTTCAAAGTAAGATATACTTCTATCATGCATATGAATATCAAAACAACTTAATGCAGCTAGATATTAATTAGATAATAAACACTATTAATTATAGAGGAATGGCTAGCTAGCAAAGGTCATGTTCCCATGCAGCAGTTAGCTGAGAAAGAATTAGACAATAGAGTACAGTTGGTGTGAGATGTTGCAAGGTCAGGAACACCTTAGTGATAACTGTTAACTGAGAACAGGATGCTGTGATCAGAAGAATCTGAATTCGGCATAGGTGAGCGATCACAGGAATGTGGAACTAGGTGGAGTCGACCTTAAATGAAAATATCCAATAATGAGCTTGCTTTTGCACTATGTATGAGCCTAATTATTGATGCTATATAAGTGGTTTTAGAGTTACCAATAAATGAGACTTGCTGATCATTCATATTGAGTGCTGCATTTCTCCCGCCGAACTCATCAATTAATAACATATGTGATATATATCATATATATATATATATATTATATATATATATATATATATTATATATATATATATATATATTATATATATATATATATATATTATATATATATATATATATATTATATATATATATATATATATGATATATATATATATAAAATTACTGTTAACCTCTAAAACACTGTACCAGTATCTCAGAGTCTGCACACAGCCAAGAAACTTCAAATCGGGGGAGGATTGGATAACTGCCTTCAGAAATGATTCTCCAAGCCCGCTTCTCTTGGAATCCAAAATAAAAGCCTCTCTGAGCTCCTCAGAGGGAGAAAACAAAAGTTATTAAACTGTGGATATAGAGTAAAAGTGTACGTTTTAGTTTTAAGTAGGTAAAAATAGAGCTTAAGTGCCCTAAGAGTCTGTGTTAGCTAGAGAAAAGCCTTATTACCCAGTTTAAAGGTCAGTGATAATACCGTTTGCAGATTCAGCTTAGCTCTGGATGTCATGAAAACAGAGTTTGTGTTCTTGGATAAAAACAGATAGGATTGTTCACATAAACATATAATACCCTATACGTAAGATTTAAGTAAAAAGAACATTGCTTTCGCATGTTAGAATTAAGTTTGGATTGGTGTACAAAGTATTGTTTTAGAAGTGTGTTTTTAGCTAATTGGATGATTATGAATTTAATCTCCTGAATTGGGGATGGAAAAAAAACATCCAAAGAAGAACAGTGGCACCATCATCGTCATGGACTGCTTTTACGGCCTGGGATGACGTAATGCCAAGCTGAGAAGCTGCCGCTCAGAATTCGAGACTTTATGCCAAAAGCTTTTAGCCAAGACTTTAACTCTATGAACTCTTTGACTTTGAGACTGATGCTTTTATACAATAAATACCTTTCCAGCAACCATCAACCGCTTGTGTCTCTTTAAGACCTGGAAAATTCCCTTGAATCCCCATTAAAGCATTGACATGTATCAGGGTGAAATAAACACCACAAACAGATCAATGAACAACAGATGCACAGGACACTGTCAGCTTGGATCTACGACTAACACCTCCCCTGCCGCTGTCTTGACAGAGCAAAGGAAAAACTTGAAAGTCTCATGACAGAGTGCAAAATATACTGAACGCTGTTTCTAGGAAGCACCCGCGTCACTGCTTAAAGGTATGGGTCAATTAAGGGGCAGTACCAACAAAGCCCCGAGACAAGAAGCCTGGAGGGTCGGGGTTGGGGTTTTTTTGCCTCTCTTCCTTTCAGTGACTTTTGCAAGCAAACGCTGAAGCTGACAAGCCACGAGTGTCCCCCAGCACCCCTCGCCGGGACTCGCTCGCAGACTGGCACCGGTCCAGGTGCAGGGAGACCAGGGGAGCCACGCAAGCCACGGCACCGGCGGCACTCGGCGCTCCCGGTCCCGGACGGAGCGCGGCTCCCGGCAGGCGGGGGCGGCCCCGCGCCGGAACAGCCCCGCCCACCCCGCAGCACCGACCCGAGGGAGCCCCGGCGTCACCCGAGCCCCGCGGACACAACGGCAGGGACGGACACGGCTCTTCCTGTCCAGGCGCAAGGACCGGTTCCGTCTCAGCGATGCCCTGGGGAATGAATGCCGGGAGTGCTCCACTGAAAGAGATTTGGTGCTGGGCGACGAGCAGAAGCGCCCTCGAATGCAGTGGCACGGCCCTTTTAAACCCTTTAAATGCTGGAGAAGCGTTTCCTGCAATTTAAGCCCGGAACCTGAGACAACAGAGGCCGTTTACCTCAATTTAAACCAATACAATAGCAAAAAAGTAAGTTCTCCCCGTCAATTGAATCCCCTAACAGAGCAGAAAAAGAGGGCTTTCCCTCAAATGATGGGAAAATGGAGATTTTTACCTCAATTAAAATCCTTTAAAAGCAGGGACAACCGGGCTTTCCCCTCAGCTTAAACTTTAGGATGATGAAAATGGGGGAGTTACCCTCAATTCAAATCCACAAAATGGCATAGATATTTTTTTCCCTTCTGTTTAAAATGGAACTCAGGGATTCCCTCTTGACTGACCCTATTGAATTAGGGGTCTAAGACTGTGGAAAAGGCAGGTTTTCATTTGATCGACACCCTTAAAATCACAGGTGAAGGAGGATTCCCCCCAGTTCAAACATAGACTGAGGAATTGCTTCCTTTAGTTTAAACTCCTTTCAAACTAAATGGAAAAGGAGTAATTGAAGAGGAGTTGCTTCCCTCAGTTTCAACTCCTTTCATCCTCATCATCCCCATTTTTTCTAGGGACACTTTGGAGGGACTGGCAAGATGAAATCAAAAGGGAAAAGGAGAAAGATCCCCCCTGCAAATCCATGCGCTGGTTCACCTGCTCGACTGCTGCTGCTTGACAGAGGTTTGTCTGATACCCAGCACTGTTGCTGGTCCAAGTGTGAGGGTAGGGGCGGAAAGGGCTCGCCGCTCGTTCCCGGAACACCTCCTTGTCTGCACCTGACACACTGGGGCACTCGGCTTCCCTTTATATGGTTAAGGACTCCTGTCCTCCTTCAGGTGCCCAAAGCTGAAATTGGAATTTCACCCTCAGAATTCCATGTGTCTGAGGTTCATGACTCCCAAGGAATTATTCCCCAGCAATCATTCAATCATGAATTTTTCCTCTGCAGTCATTACTGCCTTGGCCTTCTATGGACGTGTTTCAAACACTCATTGGGAGCCGAGGAGCCGAGTTGGCTTGTTTATGACTTAGCTGACAAGCCCAGGCTAAATCCAAACACCCAGAATTACAGGGAAATATTAATGCAGTTTAGAAAGAGGCCACTTCCGTGCAACTCGGTCCTTTGCCGCACGTCCCCAGAGATTTACCCCATCCTTTGTTCCCAACAGTGCCTCTTCAGCAGCCCACCTCTCACAGACACAAACCAAACAGAATTCTACTACAAGTGTTGCCTTGAAAAATAATCTTCTAAGTATATCTAGCTACATGATTAAAACACATACATGCCTTGGTAGTTATGGATGGAAAGCTTTTCAGTGGAGAAAATAGCTATTTTCATAGCACACTTTCATAGTGTATTTTCACCCTCAGAAAAAGGAGAATTAGTGCCAACTCCTGAGACCCCCCACTGAAGAACCTGGTCCTCCTTGCCCGATGCAGCAGACGTCGGGGGAAAAGCCGAGCCTGGAGTGAAAAAGAGAAAGGGAGTATGCAGCCTTTAAAAAAAGCCTTTGTGCAACAATAGTGGGAACCTGTTGTGTTTATCCTTTCCTCATTTTTTCTGATAATATAAATACCAAGTAAAAGTACATTAAACACGAAGCAGAGCTAGGATTTTACAGGTCTTCATTTTGGCAGTCTGGATGACAAATGTCTCCTCCTGCACTAACACCCAGCCCAGTTTGAATCCATATTTAGCCTGAATCTTCCTTGCCTCCCGTTTCCAATTTCTAGGAACTGCTTCCCTGTCTAAGGACAAGGCTGGATTCCAACTCTGTTCCACAGAGCTAAAGGAGAAGTTGGCTGTCCTGTTTGATCACTTGTGACCATTTGTAGCACAAATCTTCTCTGTTGTATCCCAAAGAGAAGCACAAGTGAATCCTCAGATCTCCAGAGAAGTAACCCACATTTCCTCAATAATTTTACCAACAAATAATATCCACATATTTGTTACTATGTCCTAAAGAAATTACTCATGTGAGACGCTTGCAGCTGAGGTCACATGGGGTAAGTTGAGATTCGGATGTGGGCTCTTGGACAGCCTTCCCTCCTGGCAGGGGAGGCCCGGTGATTAGCTTAGGACTAGACAAGACTTGTCTCCAGTGTTTCAAAGGAAGGTACAAGAAAGCTCAGGAGTAATAACTGTTTCATGCATCCATCTGTGGCTTAAGTCTCTGTAGTTTTACCAGAGAATTTAAGCGATGGCTTGAGCTTTTCAAGCAACCGTTTATGCACAGGTGCACGTGGGACTGCTCAGGGAAGGCAGCCAGAGCAGGACCTACTGGAGACCCGGGTGCAGCGGCCATGTAGAAATGCCGTGAGGTCCAGAGACGTTGAGCGGTACGGCCAGCCCGGGTCACGGCCACGCTGGAAGGGGAGCAGGAGCTGAGAATACAGGATGGGGTCATACTTTGTTCCAAGGCAGCTAATCCCCCATCGTTTTTCCTTATTACTTTGAACTCTTAACAGCATCGAAACTGACACATAAACTTAGAAGAATTTAAGGTTTTAGAGAAGCTGAGGCCTTAATTAAAAATAGGCCTTGCTAAATTTAATTAAAATAAATAAATGGGCCTTGTTAAAATTAGAAGTAGATAGAAAGACTGTGCTAAAATCAGAGGTTAATCATTGGCTAATAACTAATTGTTTGTCAACTTTATGCTAGTTCAGCTGAGCTTATAATGAAAAACTAAGAATCTGGTAAGGAATTTCAAAAACATAGGTCAATTGCAAATCAGAAACTCATTGAAAACACAAAACTAGGAGCCCGGCCGAGGGTTCATTTGTCACTTTGCATTGAAAAGGTTGAAAGGTGTAGAGGCCGGGGAACCAGCCAGCTCAGAAATCTTGCCTCTCCCCTGGAGAGCTTCTCCCTAGGCAAGATACTTTATGTCATGCAGAGAAAAAGTGTCACTCCCAGAGGCCCTAGAGTTGAACATGTTAATTTGTTACACCCCATTGGTTTCCCTCCCTATCAATCTACCCCGATACATGTATCCAAGTTTCCCCCACCCCTCTCCTTCCCTATAAATACCCTGGTTTTTCCCCTGTTCGGGGAGCTGCTGTCACTGGCTTCCTTCACTGAGGGCCCTGCTATAATAAAGGCTATTTCTCAGTGGAATGCCATGCAGCTCTCTAGTCTCTCTCTCTCCGCGTCACCTGCGTGCTGCCGCTGAGCTGAGATCAGTCGCTGGGCAGAGGATGTGCCTGTCCTCCTGGGCAGTCCTTTTCAGGACGGCTTCTTCAGGGTAGTTGTGGCACCCCTGTCATCGACACCACCGCGGCAGAAAGGTAAGGAAGAGGAAGAGATATATTCCCTCCTCCCTTTTGTGACCATTCCTCATAAGACCACCAACCCAATTCAAAGAACAAACTACGCATGCTTAATTGCTTTTTACCTAATTAGCATAAGAAGCAGAGAATGGGTGGCAACTGAGTTATGAATATGCATTTGTATTCAATATTTCTGTAAATAAAAAGCCTGTATTCACCTGTATTAAGGGGAGAACCAGCACTGGCCCAGAGCTGTTAATAAACATACACTTTTTAACCCTAAAATGGTTAAAGAGTCTTTGTCCAGCTCAGTTGGATATTGTTACTAGATCATATCCATATTTTGGTAAATTGAAGTCTTTGTGTTTCTTTGTGTTTAAGATACAGGTTTCCAGTGAGTTGGCTGCTCATATAGTGTTTCTCTGTTTCACCACAAAATCGGTTGTAAGTTGTTCTTGGATCAAATCCCAACAGCTCTCTTTCCTTGTGGATTCAGAAGGAAAATGTTGAAACCAAGGTCCCTATAAAATACCTTAGGGAAAAAAAATCAAAAAGGACTTGTGAGGGGGGAGCAAGTTTTTAAAGTGCAAGTAATCTGATTTCAGTCCAATGAACTTGACTGTTCAGTGACATGATATGATAATGAAACCGTCACATATAGACACACACAATACATTATACATCTACTAGACACATCTCAATTATATAATTGATTATATGTCTCACACAATTTGTAAACAACTATGGGCCAAAATTCGTACACAGTTCTGTGACTGTGGCATTAAGCTTTGGCTGAAATAAAAGTCCAGTTTGCTACCTTGCAAGTGCACAAATCTACTGGTCAATCACAGCAAGCCCCCATCCTTATAGAGGTCCAGCTCCTCCAGAGAGGCCTCGAACTTGACCATCTCAGGCAGCAGTTTCTTGAGCAATTCAATCACTTAAAAAAAGGAAGCATACAAATTTATCTCTACATTACGAAGAGCAACTCACTGCTGCCACACAGCGTGTTTGTTTAAGGGAACCCTGAGTGAACAGTTAGAGAGCAAGTGACACCACAATCTACCAACAAATTTTACAATGCAACTGCCAAAACCCACAGCACTGCAGCCAGGGAGGGGAGCCAGTGGCAACTGCTGCACTCATTGTCAAAAGTTACCAATCTTCAAGTGGCTGCCATCTGCCTACCTTGCTCAACAGGATCAGTGGCTACAAAAACTTACTCAAGTTTAAGCCTCCCCCAGAGGCTGTGGATTATCTTTCCTGCTCCTTGCAGGGAAGGCAGGTCTTCTCTCTGACCTGAAATGAAGTCTTTCCTTCTGAGATGAACCCCAAGCTATGGGCTACCTAGAGCTGTGCTCATCTTAACCTACAAGAGAAAGATCAAAACTTTAAAACTTGGGAGCATCACTGTTCACACTGAAAAGCCAGAATGCACCATCTCCGGATAAAGCACGGATAGAATCACTTCAGTTGCAGACACAAATTTTTAAGTACGTACTGGAAATAGCTCGGGACACTTGTTGCAACATTTAGATCTTGGGTTGCCTCCGCCATGCAAGAGAAACTGGAATGCCAAATCTTCCTAAGCACAAATTCCTCTCCTTAACCAAATCGGTCCTCAGCTGGCACGTGGCAGCTGAACTTTACACCCACGCATGGTGCTAAATACAAGAAGAAATTCGAGTTTCCTTCACTGAAATGAGGGCAACAAAGATCTGTCCCTCACAACCAGTCAGGCACCCCTCGGCAGACTCTGTTAGCTTGTTTCACACAGGGAGAAGGTGCACGAAGAACACATGTGTCCGCCTCAATGCAAGCAGAAGAGTCGCTCACGTGTACCTTCCAACGTGCCCTGAAGCACACAGCCAGGAACAAACTAATGAAGTACTTGTTATGGGGAAGAAATAGACTGTTAACTTCATCTGTGTCCAGTCCTCCTTGTACTGAGTCCTGTCTGCCTCACTGGTGAATTGAAGGTATTTCTTCCTAAACTCGTCTCCCACCATGGGGAGGTGTTTAGTGAACGCCACGCTCAGACAGGTCTGTCGGAATAGGAGCAGAGTCAGAGTCAGAAAAAGGAGCTAAAAATGAGAAGGTGCAGTCAGTTTTACACACACAGCACTTCCAGGATGCAGTTACTTCTGGTATATCTATGCAGTACTCTAAGCAATGATTTCTAACCTTTCATCCAAGCTTTAATAGCTTATTTCTAATTATCACCACCTTCATAACCAGCATACTCGCCTGCCCCTGCAATACACAGGCACAGGGAGGACACTGCAGTTACTTACACAACAGAACATGTAACATACCAAATTAAACACCCAGCACTATACCTCACTTTTGGAAACAAAACCTGGGCAGACACTGCAGTGTTTGAAACACCTGTAAGAATAAGAACTGCTTTAAATATATTAGGCATCTAGCCACAGACACGCCTATGGAAATCAGTGAGTGATGAAATTCAGCAGTGATGAAAAAGGAATTACTTCCTTAACCTGTGAATAATCATCTCTAAGATTCTGTGATGCAGTTGCCACTGCACACAGCCACAAGTGGCTTTTTTATTAACAGGCAAAAGAAAAAGGAATTCCCAGCTTCTTCCTCCTTGTCTGCAAAGAAACAGAGAAGGGAGAGATGCTTCTCAGAGGAGCATAGTAAAAAGAGAAGAGGTCCTGGGCCCAAGCTGCAGTGAGTAAATTTCTGTTCGGACATGAGGCAAAAACACTGGGCCAATGTTTCAAGTGCCACTGCTAAGAAATGTGTGTTATTGTCATGGGGTAGCTTTACCTTTAAGACAGCTCTGAGAGTTAAGGAAGTTGAAGCTGCTGGTGGCTGATGGGAGTTTTTCCTCCTGACCAATTATCAGTCATGTCTAAAATTGACAGCAAGCTTGACCATTAAAAAGTTAAGTCAACTTGTAAACACCCCCTTAAGAAGTACAGTCAGAGCTCTCTTGTCCTCTTTTGTTTCCGGCTTTTGAGAAGGTAACAAGGCTCTGTAGTAGCCTCCTCCATTCTCCCCCCCCCCCCCCCCCCCCCCGGCCGGAGAAGGACGCAGAGGACAAGAGGGAAGGGGGAGGGGGGGGAGGGGGAGGAAAGGAAAGCAGAGCTGGCAGCCTGGTTTGGTTTTCAGTTTCTGCTGCTGGACTGAAACCTGACACCATGAACTCTTGCAGCTTTCTAAAGCTTTTAATTCTTTTACTACCTGGATAAAATGTACAGATTACTCCTTTTTCTCAGAAAGACAGAGAACGAGAGAGACAATCAACATGAAAAAG